CGCCTCCCTGGAGCTGACTAACCAGCCGCCCCGCGCTCGTTTCACACAGCGGAACCGCACGCCGCCATCTTGAACTCCGCCGCGGCAGAGGCTCCCGCCCCGCAGTCCTCATTGGTCAACCAGCTCTCTCCTCTACAGTCTCATTGGGAAGACTATTTGTCTGTCTTTACATCTCCCCGCGCTCAGGAAAGGCGCCCGCCCAACCACCTGGAGCTGACTAACCAGCCGCCCCGCGCTCGTTTCACACAGCGGAACCGCACGCCGCCATCTTGAACTCCGCCGCGGCAGAGGCTCCCGCCCCGCAGTCCTCATTGGTCAACCAGCTCTCTCCTCTACAGTCTCATTGGGAAGACTATTTGTCTGTCTTTACATCTCCCCGCGCTCAGGAAAGGCGCCCGCCCAACCACTGTTATTGGGTTCCCAACGCCCTAGTTAGAGCACCTCATTGGTTATATTCGTTGTCTATCTTAACGGTTCCTCGCGCCAGGCCCTAGCTCCGCCCCTCGCGCTCTATTGTCACCTGACCCAAAGTCTGGGAGCGTTGATTGGACAAAAAGTCTGCCCTGTAACGGTACTTCTGGCGCGGTGAAGGCAGCGATCCCACCTCCTCATCACTTTCATTGGTTAGTGACCCCGTCCTTTAACCAACTACTTGGGAAGTCGGGCCATCTGTTGTGGGGTTTTTTTCTGAGGCCGGGTCACAACGATCTCGCGAGAGACAGAAAGCTCCCTCTTTCCATCTCTTTCTTCCAACTCTTCCAGCGGCTAAAAGAAGTTTAAATCTGATTGGATATTGGCGAGGAAGTTGATAGGATAAAATAACTGTCCATCACTTGCTTAAAGGCACTAAAGAGGCTCGCTGAAGGTGAAAGAGTATAGAACACGCGCGGGTTGTGCGACGTCACATGGATGTCGCGAGATGGTGACGGAGAGCCCGCCCCGCCTCCCCGCGCTTTTGGCGTTCTCCTCTCAAACATCTGTTCCGTCCCGCGGCGTAGTTGGCTGTGCTTCAGCCCTTGGAACTCGAAACTTCTGGGCTTTGCATTGTCCTACCTGTGTGGGACAAGGGGCACTGGGACCCTCTGTCTGTGAGGCCCATGAGCGCCTCAGGGAGCCTTCTGGGGCGCCCAGCGGACACCATCTTAGTCCTTTAGCCGCTGCGTGAGCAGCCTGGGAAAAAAAGCAAAACCCACCGCCCGTGGTCATTGGGACCTGCGGGACAGGCCGCCGCCGAGAATTCACAAAGCCGGGGGGTCACACTGCACGGCGCTGAGGCTGGGGGCGCCGAGAGCTAGGATGCTGCGCAGCGAAGACTCCGCCTTCACAAGGACGCCAGGCTCCTCTGGGCACCCAGGTTCCCGCCCCAGTACCCGGGAGAGCCAAGGGAGTGACCGACGCTCGCAGCCGCGCCTGCTGGTGCACCGCCGGAACTGGAGAGCCACCGCGGCGTCCCGCTGTCTGGGCGTCCGACTTTGTGTTGCGAATCCGTGTGGATTTTGTATTCTGGTTGTGATGAAGCCATGCTTGTTTTTATACGTAGTGCGTCTCCCCTTAAACTGATCAAGGGAAATTTACGCCCCAAGCTGATATGGCACCTTTCTTTTTTCGTTGTTTTTTTTTGTTTTGTTTTGTTTTGTGGTTACTTTTACTTCCCGGTTGTTTTGTAGTTGAACCCAGTAGTCACCTTGCTACCTCTCTGAATCCACCTGTTTGGGCTATTTCAATCATTACCTGCTTCAAAGCTCAACTTTCACTCTCCATAGACCTTGATGTGTCAGACACGCACCTGCACGGGAGGTGCTCAGACACTGCGATTAGGCAGGTACAGCCTGTGCCCTGGCGCTGACGGTCCTGTGAAGGGAGGTAATAGTGGCGGTTAGGCTTTCTGCAGTTCTAGGGGCACAGAGGTTATGAATCTCTCAAGAGCCCACCTAAAGTAGAGGCCGTGAGGTGTTTTCAAACATGACATTTTTCATGGCAATACTGTACCCGAAACTGAAACCTAAACTTGAAAACTATTTCAAGATTAGGAACCACATTCTATTTAGCCTTGCAGGAGTCATCCTTTGTATAAGTAAGGCCATTTATCTCTTGATAAGATCAAAGAAACTTGAAAGAAGCCCGTATGTAAAACAAAAATCCACGATATTCCACTGTGTAAACATGTCGAATTGAAAAGAAAATACGGGCTGCCCCATGTAGAAATAGAGAAGGGATTGCGGTTGTGACCATGCTCCATGGTGGGGGGTGTGCTTTGTTCTCCTCTATCGGGCCAGAGGAGGGGTCCTACACCCCCCAAAAAATTTTATTTATTTCCATTCATTCACTATACATCATTGTAGCATACAAAATGAGGTTTTCCGTACAGAATACTTTTTTTTTTAAAAGAGGAGGTACTCCTTGGCCAAGTGATTAAGGAAACTGGAAGCCACACAGCCAATTGCCATTGGAATCCTAGGTGGCTTGAAAAACATGTGGGCTTGAAAGAGACATTTACTTTGCTGTATGCAGATCCCAACAGGATGGAGAAGTGGAGAAGGAATGGTAACATGACCTTGAGGTTTGGGGGTGCTTTCTTTCAGTGTACTTAAAAAAAAAAAACAAAATTTTATGGAGCATAGAATAATGCATATTATGTGCTACCTTATGTTGTTTTTAAAATAGTACATAAAACATGTATTATAGTGTGCATACATGTATTATAGTGTCCAATAGTATAGAATAATGCATATTATGTGCTACCTTATGTGGTTTTAAGATAGTACATACATGTATTATAGTGTGCTTATATATATATTATATATATGTATAATACATGTATTATAGTGTAATATATATTGTCTATATTTTTGTGGAAATTAACTTGATGAAATATAGGAAGTTGTTACTAGGATTGCCCTGGGGGGATGCTGAGTGTCTGGAGTGACAGAGACTTAACTTTTCTTTTGTATGCATTATTAAGAGAAAACTTTCCCAATGCACATACTATTATTCTTTCAACAGAAATAATAGTAATTAAAAAAAAATATGCTAGAGGGCACTCCCCAGACAGAGGGTAACTGAGAAAACGCTCCCCAGGAGGATAGCCATACCACAATCCCTTTTCCTCCATTCTCCTCCTGTGATTTTGGTCACGTGAGTGCTCAGTGTGTCTTTCAGGCCACAGGTGCAGAACTTGAACTGTGCAGTCAGCCTTGTGGGATCCCACCATCTTAACCACCATGGCCCCCAATAGTAGTAATTTTTAGCTTCAACTATTTTCCTTCAACTACTTTTAGGGATAATAATAGAATATATAAAAGTAGAATACCATAAAGAACTTCCGTGTACCCGATACCCTATTTTGACAATTACCAGATCATGTAAATCGTGTTTCATCTGTATCTCATTTCCTACTCTCCTCCATTATTTTATTCCAGGCTTACATGATACATTTCCTGACCCAGACATGGAAGCAGCCATTTCTCCAAGGAGTTCTGTTTCCTTTTAGTAAGAAATGGTATATAAAGATACAACTCTACATACTAGGACATAAAAGATACTTGTATGTCCACACACTATTTGTAAAAGCACAAGATCAAGAAACCTTTACGTACTAAATTTTATTCTGTTTCAAGGTGTATATGTGTGTGTGTGTGTGTGTGTGTGTGTGTGTGTGTGCGCATGTGTGTATGTTTAACTTTCTTTTTTATTATTTAATTTTATTCATTATTATTCATATTTTTTAATTTGACCAGAGAGAGGGAAAGTGAGAAAGCAAGACACCAGGTGCAGGACTCAAACCGTGGTTGTCTGTGTGGGAGTCCCGCACCTTAACTACCATGCCACCTGCTGGCCCCTCAAGGTATATTAATACAACACAAAGGGAAATTGAGGTTAAGCCTTTATCTGATCACTTCGTTCAATGTAATCGTCAATCTAGAGCTCCAGAGCAACTTTTTGACCTAAATTGACCTGTCACTTACTGATCAAAGAAAAAGATAATGACCAGCGCAGTACATAGTTTCCTAGACTTTACAATAGGGGTTGAGAAAACACAAGAATTGAGGGAGAGAATCAGGGAACTGAACAGGCACCAGTGTGTGTGATAATGCTTTGGATGTGCCAGGCTTGGTGGCTTGCCTCTTGAAATACAAAGGAGTTTGATGGAAGCTCCTGCCCACAGCTGGCTACAGTAGGAAGCCTTATCAAAAGGAACTGGTAGCCTGCCTAGAACCAAGAGGATAGTGAATTTAATGGGTACTTGGTAAAGGCCTAGGTTCCATTACCAGTTGCAGCTAGAGTGTGCATGTGTTAGTCCACAAAAAACTGAATAATGATCTATGATGGATCAATGCTGTAGTTAAAATCAGTGATTTATTTTGTTTTCATTTCCTCCGTGTTCTTTTTTTTTTTTTTTGGAGAGGTTTTTGCTATAGAGCGCGTGCGCTCGCCAGACAGACAGAGAGAGACATAGAGACAGAAAGCGAGAAATCACCCCCCAGGGGGGATCTTCTCCTCCATTCTCCTCTCAGGATCTTGGGCACGCACGCACACATGCCCAGCGTGAGTTTTAAGCCATCGGGTCCGGCACACGAACCGCGGTCGACTACGTGGGAGTCCAGCGACATAGCCATTACCTAACTGCTGGTTCCCTCCTTAGTGTTCTTTAAAGCACAAAGCTGCTTAGTGAGGTTTCATCAGCCTATGTTTACAGAAGTGCTTTGGAGAGGGCTGAGAAAAGATAAAAGTGATGCATGGTTTAGAAGGCGAGGGCTTTGAACCCTTCTTTTGGTGTTGATGGAGTTGTTGATTTGAATCCAAGCTTTCATCTCATCTTGATCAATGGCTGGATTTGTAAAGACAGCTGATCTGGGTGAAGAGGATCTTTCAGTGGTCACAAAAACAGAGTTAAGCTACCAACAGATTCCCTGAGCATCATAACAGCATGTTGACCAATCTTTCCTTTTAGCACTCTGCCAAAAACTAGAAAGT